TCACAGGTCTGACCTTCACAGATCTGACCCTCACAGGTCTGACCTTCACAGATCTGACCCTCACAGGTCTGACCCTCACAGGTCTGACCCTCACAGCTCTGACCCATGCGTACGCTAATTTTGGAGATGTGAAACTGCGACACAGATGGTGAAGTGAGGAATTAGAGCCACACTGTGTCATGATCACTGTCAGAGATTTAATTTATCTTCATCAGACTTAGATTTTTATTCATCTTTATCATCAGATTTATTAACAGTAATATTTATGCTTCTGCTGCTGCTGCTGCTGCTGCTGCTGCTGCTGCTGCTGAGCCATGATGACATTTCAAATAAACAAGCTATTCTGAACCAACTTAATTTTTTTTATTTTTATAACAAGGCCAAGAGTGCCCCCCCCCCACTTAACAGAGGAGCCAACCAGCCCACCCAACACAACCTCCTCATCCGTTGTGTACCACATAAGGACTCACCACCAAGACCCCTGAATCACTGACATGGGGCCACCAGAATGAAAGTRCCAGATGCATCACACCATTCCCCTTGCCACCCATCCCACAAACTAGACCACCAGCCCAACAGCAGACCACAACCACAGCCAGGCAAGCACAGTCAAAGAACATACCCCATACRAACACCCAGCCAGCCAGAAAGCCATACCAGAGCCCAACAGCAGGCCAAGGTCCATGCAGAAACCCAGCTGACATAAAAACATGTACCAGCCCATAGACAGAACCAACTTCAATCTTCAGTAGAAGTTCACACAGCTCCCTCCTCCTCAGAGACCCCTACAGACCTCTCCCTATCAAGTGAAATTTCAACACAGAGCACAACAGTAAAAAGGTAGACTTTTTAAAATGTGTATTCCCTCCAAATAACAGTGCAGCTGCAGCACAAAGCAGGAGGAAAACAGAAGAGTGGTGTGTAGAACCTGTGATGTTGTCTAGTCTCATGTTTTAGTTTGACTTTATTCTGGTTTTCTGTCATGTCTCTCTGTTTTCCTCATGCCTTTGCTGGGCCCCGCCCACTCACAACTGATGCTCATGTTTCTCCCCCAGGTGTTTCTTGTTTCGACTCATTAGTTTCCCTTTATATTCTGTTCTGTGTCTTTCAGATCCTTGTTTTCTGTTTGGTGTTCATGTTCTTGTCAAAGCCCAAGCCTTTGTCCATGTTTGCTGTCATGTCAGCTGTTTGTTTTCTTTAATAAATATTTTTGCCACACTCACTCAGTCCTGCATCTTGCAGTTCTAATCAACCAAGCCCAATCGTAACAGAACCTGAGGTGAGACCTTGTGTGCAAACTCTTGTCTATAAAGGAAAAGTCCTTGAATGTGTGCATGTGCACAGTTTTATAAATCTGAAGTCTTTTTTTTTTGGTGTACACCATTTTCTCCTTTTGGCCATTCATTCACTTTTAGAATGAATTCTATGCAATCCTTTATAAATGATGCCCAGGTAAAATCAAATC